CGGTGCCTCTCCTTTTGTTTGTATTATTAAACCCTGTCAATCTAAAAAACTGAGCAACTCAACAGTTAACTTTATATTTCTTATTGTCCAAAGCATCTATTACACTATTTTTTCCCCTCTCATATTCACAGGATGGATGATTAGAGACCTTGGGGGAGACCTCAGCTTTATGAACGTCCTGTCTGTTGGTTTGGCCGGAGAGGTAAGAGAACGGGGCTGCGTTGCGTGCATGGCTTCCTTCTGCAGGTAACGGGGAGACGTTACCTGCAGAAGGAATTACATTTTTTTTCATATTTCAGATTCCTCCGCGTACCACCTCGCGGGAGCCCGCGTACCACCAGTGGTACGCTTACCACAGGTTGAGAACCACTGGTCTAACCTATACTATCGAAAAACTACTTACTTAACCTAACTCTCTATGGACGATAACTCTAAGGACAATGACAAAAGATCTTAACCCTGGAATGCTTGGAACACACAAGACAATCTGGCAACGAGACAGGGGAAGACGAGAACTATATATACTAGACAGACAACACCAGGTGAAAACAATTTAGACAATCACAACAGCGGGAAAACAGACAAGGCAGGAAACGTACTTTAGACACATGAGGGTAGACAAGACTATCAAAATAAAACAGGAACCTATCTAAACACAGAACATAAAACCTAAACTAGGGAAGAATCTTTAGCAGAGCCGTCTACGCACAACAGTGGGGTAGGTAAGTTTGAGAAACCGGCTCGAGATACACTTTTTGTTATATTCCATGGAATGCTCTTAACATCCCGATTGCAATGAATATCTTAAGTGCTTTGACAAAAAATCCATAAAAAAGCCGTAGTACTGTAAAAAGCACGACCAATCATTTTAGCCGGCCCGGCTAAAATGATTGGTCGTACTTGATGTTACCTTGGCCTTGACTTCTTCAAGGTGTTGTTTGAAGGACAGTGTCCGATCCAGACGCACACCGAGGTACTTCGGGGCTTGCTGGACCTCCAGACGTTTATTGTTGACATGCACCTCAAGTTCCCTCCTAGCTTCTCTGGTGCTAAGATGGTATGCCGCTGCTACTGTCTTTCCGATGTTGAGCTGTAGACGCCACCTTTGAAAGTATGCTACCAGGGTGCTCATGTCGTCGTTAAGGCCATCTTCCATTGCCTTCCACGTTAGTCGTCTCAGCATGATGGCTAGATCGTCTGCATAGCCGTTGTGAGGGTCTCACTAGCACTGAGCTAGCTACCCATCCAGTTAAACCGTTTGAAAGAAAACTCCAGCGCAGTTGTCAGTTTTACTGAAGTCTCTTTACTTGGTGAAACTGTAAAGACAATACAGACATAACAGTTTATTATTGACTGCCCGACTGACGAGCTAAACTAAACAGAATACTTCACACAATGAGCTACGGCGCACAAACTGAGAAGCTAATCAGCCTAGCCGCTAGTAGCTTAGCCGCAAGCAATACTCACTGCATTCCTACAAACATAAACATTTTACATACAACATATTCCCATTAAGCCACAGCCTGTCGGACAATAACACTCACAGACGATGCGTGAACCAGCGGGAAATACGAAGCATAGCCCATGGAGAGCAGACGTCCGTTCATGAAACAACCCAAGCTACACGTGGAGCACACTCGGAAACAAACAAGTTCGTTCTCCTAGCAACAGGAATCGAATAAACCACTTGGGGCAGCAGTGTCAACCAACCACCACAAGGTGGTGCCAAAACACAGCCTAGAAAACACATATACGACAGATATACACCAAAAACACACATCAAGGACAGAACAGCCGTACTTTTTGGATGTTGTGTCAGGTAGGTCATGTACATAAATGTTGAACAGCATCGGCGAGAGAACCGACCCCTGCGGAACACCGTTCCTCAGTCTTCTGAGCCTGCTGCGTTGACCATTGCTGGTCTGGAGAACAAAGCTGCGGTTGGTTAGTGTCACCATGATGAACTTAACCATATGCCGGCCTGGTATTGTCCTCAACAGCTTCAGGTGGAGTCCACGGTGCCAGGCGGTGTCATATGCGGCAGTCAGGTCCAGGTACACTACCCCAGCTTTCTCATTGTCCTGAAAGCTGTCTTCGATGTCCTGAGAAAGTAGCGTTACCTGGTCTACTGTTGACCTTCCACGTCGAAAACCAGCTTGTTCCTGTGGAAGCTGTGAGTCCACCACTGGCTAGATGCGGCTATGGATCATCCTCATCCGTTTGCTCCTGCTGCTGTTATTCAATGCAATCCCTCCCCGTTGAGGCAAGCACTGTAATTATCTCTGGTTTGCCACCAGCAGATGACAAACACCCACCTCTCCGCCTCTTCCAAAGGAACGAGCAGAGTGCGGCAGAGTTTCAGTTAGATTTTTTTTCGCCGGTCAACATGTCCATTAAAGTTTAAATCTTCTGGACAAAATTAGAAAAGTGCCGGTCAAAGGTCTTCTTGTTATTTATTGAGCTTTAAAACAAATGAATAATGACTCTATATAATCATATAAGAATAATACACGGAGGACGGAGATCTCTTTTTGTCCCCCTCTTCTGAGAGCCCAGCAGCTGATCTCAGAGCACGCTCCCCTCTCCTGCAGGGGGGCGTGGTCAACTGCAGCTAATTTGCATTAAAGCCACGTCACAGAATCAGCCCCTGCAAAAACAGGGCTGGAAAGAGCAAATAGAGCGAAATGAGGCATGGCTAAAATGCAGGATCTGTTTGGTATTTTGAAAAAAAAGCTATATTTATATACTTTATATAGGTATGGCCCTACAATATATTGTTCAAATAAAGCATGATAGGTCCATTTTAAAGGGATTTCTTGCAGACTTTGGCCTTAGTATAAACCCTGCTCTCTGTGTGTTCTTCAAACTGTGCACATGGCTCCATCAGGTATCCAAGTTACTTCCTAAAAGGAATATATTTCTCGGGGACGGATTCCTGTGACAATTTACCTATGTTACATCATGCTAGATTGATGAAATCCAGAACAGCACCCATAAGGGACTTTCTATCGCGCTTGAGCTCTGATTATAAGTGCTTTGCTGGCAAGCTGAAAACCACACAATACTGGAGACAATGAAAAGCAAATGTGGCATTAGGAATTCAGATCGTAGTTCAGCTCTGGCTATTTTCACCTACTCTAACCACCCGCCTGCTTTGCTCCTTGCTGTCCCCGCAGGAGCTCACTTCACCTCTCCTCTCACTAGCCGCCCAGCTATCCTCACACTTTCATCTCTCTGTCTCAGCGGGATGGACGAATGCTCAAACAAACTGGTAATCTTAGACCCCCCCTCCTTCGCTCTTTTTGCCTCTACAGCCTTCTCTGTCACTCTTCCACTTCCACTGTCATCCTTTTATCTCTTCCGACCTCTCATCTACCCCCATCGTCTCTCACCGTTTCTGCTCTCCCCGTGCTCCCGCTTCATTCTCTCTATCACTTATGGCCTGGCTGCAGGCAGTTCTGCGGTATTGGAAGCAGCATGGGGCTTGAGGAGTCATCTGGTACTAAGCAGAGCTAAGCCCAGCTTCCGAAAAGCATCTTAGTGCTTTGGTTTGGAAAGGTTTACAGAGAATATCAGATGATAGAGCGGTAAAGCTGAAGGCTTGGCCTCAGACACCTCCAGTCTGGGAAGAGATGACTGAGCTAACAAACATTTTGGCAGGAGATCATTTTGAAAAGGTGGCATTTGGCAATAGATCTGTCACCATATGCTCTACTCTAGTGGACCTAATGAGGGACTGTCAAATGGTTTCTAAAACCATTGTTTGTTTTTTTAAGTGTTAGCACAACAATTCCGTTAACTTAACCAAGTGTTATGGTTGTGGGAAAACATTTTTGGGATCTGCTCTCAAAAAACCTTTTCTACCTTTAACCAGGAGGTCAGGTTTCATTTTCAACCTCTCGCAAGAGGTTTCACAAATGTTGGGCAACCATCTTGAGTGCTTATTTCTAACAGAAACCACCATGATTCCCTTAACTAACACGTTTTCATTTCTAACACTTTTAACGATAGATCTTAAAACAGATCTATAATTCAACAGATTTGTGGTGATTTGTGAGGATCTGACACCTCTAGGACAAATACTTTAGATGAAAAAAAACCTCTATGTGTTTTAGAGAGCCCCTACAGCTAGCAGCTTTAACTTGAATGACTTTTAATAATCCTTCATTTGAAATAGTCCTCGCTGACAAAAAAACAAATCATCATAATTTGTTTCACTAAACACTCAGTTGCCATCATAGCAGGTTAACTGTGACCAAAACGTTCTGATGGTTATTATATGTGCAGTTTTACCATTTAGTTGCACATATATTTTTTAATATACTGAAGATTTGTTGTTTTAAACTGCATTTGCTTTAGCTATGTAGACATATTAACAACCAGGTGTTTATTAGTTTAACATATTTAACTGCACCCTCCCTATCAAAAATGTATAACTTAACCATGGCATTGAGTGTGGAAAGCAAGCAAGCAATATCCTGAAGTATGGTCTTTGTGTGTGTGCTTGCATGCAGGGCTGTGTGATGCGTAGTGCAGTAGATCTGTGGTAGTAGTGCTTGTAGTTAGTGCATGTTGCATGCTGCTTCTGCTTGCTACTCTGCTTTCAGCTACTGCCGCCGGCTAGCCCTCCTCGCGGAGGGTGAAGAGAGGAGCCGAGTGTGTAAGTCTCCTTCTGCTGGTACAAAGCCGCTCCACCGCCAAGACTCCTGCAGTGCCTCCTCGTGGCCACACACGGTAACTGGGTACCGTCAGGTCCCAGGCTAAACTGTAGGGGATCTCGGAGCAACAGTGGGCCCCAGAGGCAAGGCGCGCAGGCCCACCGGTGTGTGGATACGCCCTGGCGCCTGCCAACCACTGTCCCAGCTATGGGCAAATAGCAGGGGCAGATGGGGCTCATAGTCATGGAAGGCAACCCATCTAGGAGAAGGACACTCTGAACTAAAACCAGGACTGAGAGGAGTTGCACCCCCCAGTCCTTAATCAGCATAGTAAAGCCAACCATGAAGAACAAAGTCATCCCAAATCCTATACTTCCAGCGGCGGGAGTCCGTAGGAACATCGCAGCGGATAGGGGTTCTGGTCCTCCTTCCGGAGGACAACATGACGATAATACCCTAAACCCGCAAGGGAGGGTCCTGTCCGATCACAGCACCCCGTCCGATGCACTCATGCGTTGTCGGAGACCATTTGTAATGGGAACCTTCAATGCATGTACAGTGAGAGAAGAAGCTAGATTGGTAGAACTAGCACACTGTGCTGAGGAACGGGGAGTGGAGATCCTGGGAGTCCAGGAACACAGAAGAGTGCACCCTGATGACCGGATCGTGTATCGCAGAGTGGAGAGATGCACGTTCATCACTGCATCTGCGTGGCGAAACGAGGACCAGGCTGCAACAGGGGGTGTAGGGCTAATGCTGGGCCCTCGGGCGCGTAAGGCTCTCCGTCAGGTTTATCATCACACCGATAGGATCCTTATTGCAGAGTTCTCAGGCAACCCAGTAACAACAGTCATAGTCGTGTACTCACCCACCAACGTGGCACCAGCTGAGGAGGTGGAGAAGTTCTATGAGGACCTTGCAACAGCAGTCCGAGATGTCCCAGCGCACAACTTCCTGGCAATCCTGGGTGACTTCAACGCAAGGCTTGGACCAGAGGACGCACCCTACCCATACCACGACTCTACCAACCGCAATGGCACATACCTCATGGCCCTTCTCATGGAACACGAGCTACTGGCAGTGAACACCATGTTCCGGAAAAGAACAGGCAAGAGATGGACCTTCCAAGATCGAGCCACAGGTATGCTACGTCAGTTGAACTACATACTTGTGAGGCAAAAGTGGAGGAACTCCATCTTGAATGCTGAACCGTACAGCACGATCAGCTCTGTGGGCTCTGATCACCGCGTGGTCTCCATGAGGGTGTGACTGAGCCTCAGGGTCCCCAAGCCAAGCCCCAAGATCCGGCATGACTGGAAGGCATTCATAACCGACCCTGGCCTTCAAACCAGGTATATGGAGTAGGTTAGGAAGCGCTTTCGGCAGCTGGATAAGGGAGCGGAGCCCAGCAGTGAATACAGGAGATTCGTTGTTGCAAACAAGGATGCGACCAGGCTATGTGTGCCCATGCTGGACAGAGCCAGAACCTCCCTACGGTCCAGACATCCGGAGGTCGTAGCGGCACGGGGTAGAGTGGAGGAAGCACACCTCAACTTTGAGCGTGAACCAACCTTGGAGAGACGTGGGGTACTGAACGAAGCCAAACAGTTTCTCTTCAGTGCCTATGACACCATCAAAGGGGAGGAACTGATGGAGAGTGTGCGAAGAGTGCAGGCAGCGCAAGGTGAAAGGCAATATGGGGAGGCCTGGAGGGTCATCAATGAGATGACTGGGCGGAAGAGGACTAAGGAGGGACAGGTTGAGGGACACAGCCCCGAGGAGAGGGTGACGACCTGGTTCAACCACTTCCAAAGCCTGCTGGGCACAATAGCGGATGGAGCTGAGGAAAGTATACCAGCTTTCCTCCAGAACCTGCCCATCGACGATGGTCCCTTCACAGCCAGTGAGCTTGCCAGGGCGAAGTCCACAGTGAGAGAGGGCAAAAGTGCTGGGCCAGATGGCATACCCCCGGAGGTCCTAAAGTACTGTGATCTCGATGACCTCATCCTAGACTTTTGCAACCTCGCTCTACTGCACAACATGCAGCCTGATATATGGTCTCTCTCCAACATCATCCCGGTGCCTAAAGCTGGAGACCTCTCAAAGCCAGACAACTACCGAGGCATCAGCCTGACATGTATCACGGCAAAGGTTTACAACCGGATGATACTGAACAGGATACGGCATGCCATCGATCCTCACCTGAGGGAGAACCAAAACGGCTTTCGAGAGGGGAGAACCACCGCAGCCCAGATCTTGGCGCTAAGGAGAATGATCGAGGAGATGAAAAAGGATAACCTGACTGCTGTACTGTGTTTTATCGACTTCAAAAAGGAATTTGACTCGATCCACAGAAGCACAATTGTGAAGATCCTTGAGGCCTACGGTGTCCCTCCCAATCTACTCCGGGCAATAGAGACCATGTACGCAGGAACAAGGGCCAGGGTGGTGACCCCAGATGGCAACAGCGAGGAGTTTGACATCCTGGCAGGGGTAATGCAAGGGGACACCCTGGCCCCCTTCCTCTTCATCATGGTCCTGGATTACGCGCTTAGGAAGGCCATCAGTGGACGAGAGCAGGATCTCGGCTTCACTCTAACACCAAGGAGGTCGAGACGACACCCCACAGTAGTCCTGACAGACCTGGACTATGCGGACGACATCAGCCTGCTCTCCGACAGCGTGGAGCAAGCACAGGAACTCCTGAACAGAGTGGAGTCAGAGTGTGCCAAGGTTGGCCTGAGGCTAAACGCCAAGAAAACTGAGGTTATTACCTATAACATCTTACCGGAACATCCACCTCTGACAACAACAGAAGGCATTGTGCTTAAAGAAGTCAAGGACTTCAAGTACCTGGGCTCATGGGTCAACTCAACCGAGCAAGATCTTAAGGTGAGGAAGGCACTTGCATGGAGGGCCCTGAACGGCATGACCAGTGTATGGAACTCCAACCTCCCCCGTCAAATCAAACTCAGCTTCTTCTATGCAACGGTAGAGTCTGTTCTCCTCTATGGCAGTGAATGCTGGACCCTGAAGCCAACCCTGCAAAAGTCTCTAGACGGATGCTACACCAGAATGTTGTGAGCAGTATTTAACAACAGCAAGAGTGTACATTTAACCAACAACATCCTGTACGAGGGAATACCAAGGGTGAGCGAGAAAATTGCAGCCAGGAGAATGAGACTAGCAGGACATTGCTAAAGGCATCAAGAGCTGCCAGCCGGCAAATTGGTGCTGTGGGAACCAACACACGGGCATCGGTCACGAGGACGTCCCGCACAAACATACGTGGACCTACTCAAGAACGACGCAGGAGCACAAAGTACCAATGAACTGGCCAGATGTATGGAGAACCGGGATGACTGGAAGCGACGATGGAGGGCTCGTCTGAGGACGACCTAGAGAGATGGTACTCTCACGCTTGAGCATAAAACTGTAAATGTTATAGTGACTATTTGTCTTTCCAATATAGCTATAATCATTTCCGTCTGTGCGTTACAGTTTAATGAGTTTCTGCCCACCCCTCTTGCCTGAGGATGGTGGCTCCTGATACATAAGGTCAAGATCGTCTTTCACTTTATGGGCATTTCACCAAGAAACTGTAAGAATTGCTTCATCTCTGCCCATGGTGCAGGCTGGTGAGAGTCAAGGTCAAAGCATTATGTGTCATTTCAATTACCATAATTAGATGTAAGTAAGGTCAATTTAAAATACCACCAATATCACCAAGATTAATTTAACTTTTTTTTTCTCATGTTGTGCATTTTCTTTTTTTAAAACAATAAATGTATTGTTACTAGGGCTGTCAGTCGATTAAAATATTTAATCGCGATTAATCACATGATTGTCCATAGTTAATCGCGATTAATCGCAAATTAATCGCACATTTTTGATCTGTTTTAAATGTACCTTAGAGGAATATTTTTCAAGTTTTTAATACTCTTATCAACATATGAGTGGACAAATATGCTTTATGCTAATGTTTATTATCATTTGAACAATGACGCGGCTGGTGGAAAATATTTTTGGTGGGGCTTTTGATATAGTGAGTAAAAACATTTTTTTTTGGGAGAAATGACCCCTTCAATTAGGACTTCTGGTGATGTAATGGCGCGTTTCCAGTGCAGCGCGGAGCTCGCTTTAATTCTGCGTTCAGACCGGACGCGATGCGAGTATTCGCTTCGCTCTAAACGCTCCTATCGCATCGCTCTAGTCGCTCGAGTTTCACCGCGGCTGCCAGCTGTGTTTACTCGCATCATTCAAACAAGACGCGCTGGCTCGGGAGCTACAACTACAACAAAATGAACATATTTTACCGTGATTAAATTGTAATACACGTTTCTAAATGATGCCGACGTAACAACATACTGATACCGGTTAGTAAAAATCATGAATTAATGCTTTGACAAGTCTGCAGACAGACGGCAGGCGAAAAACCTTTTAGAATGCTTGTTTTCTGAATGGAGCTTGGCTAAGCTAACGTTATATATGTTCCGACCGTCCACACTCACAACAACGGCCTATACAGACATAAATAAACCAGCGACTGTATTCTCCATGACACAGGCAGTCTGTGGTTTGTACTTGTTTAACTTGTGTCTAGTTTCTGAACAGATCATATCTGTCCCCGGCTGTTTGAAGAGCAAGCATGGGAAACAAAAGATAGCATTTACCTATTTGCATCGTTTGCATCCAGCTAGCCTCGTTGATACGTTTTGTCTTTTTCACGAGCTTGCTGTGATATATACAAATCGGGTTGGTCCGGTCCAAGGTCTTGAAGTATCAATTTATCTCCCAAACTTCTCCTTTGGAAAGGATTGGAGAGTAGCTCTTGCACGGAATTGGGTGCGGACCGAGGTCCGGCGACTCCACCTGCACACCATTCTAAATACTGCGTCACCTTGGTCACTCACGAGTCTAAAAAACAACTCACGTCACGTAAGCAACGTGGGCGCCAACGTGAGCGCCCTCGTGACCAAAATATTTGACTGCGCTGATTGGCTGAAATTAGGTTTCGGCGGCACAGTTTACTATTGAGACTTTTGCAACGTGCTGGTTGCTGCTGTTTGGCTCGGGGGCTACGCCCGGTAATGATAAACTAATGCCATGGGCAAGGCCAGGCAGGAAACATATGACTTATCAGTAACTTTAGACATCGTAACACAATTTTAAACGAGATTTTATTATAGATTATACATTTTACTGATACCAATTGTATGATATTTACCTTGTTCATTAAAAATAAAAATAATTTTTTTTTTTTAAATATATATTTTTTAATTTAAAGAGCTTACGAAATGCTATTAGCACCTGTTAGTGGGCTTGGTATATGATAGAGGTTACATTTGTATTGTGAAATGTGCCATATGATTTTTTCATTATTGATGTATTTTTTAATAAATCACGATTATAACAGCATACAAATGTTGTCAGTTAGTAACAATCGTTCGTCGCTCTGGAAACAACAACTTCGGTCATTTCCGGCGGTGACGTCATGAGTAGAACACAGCTGAGCAGAACACAGCTGAGTCACCATTGTTTAAATGCCTTGAAGCGGCAAATATTAAAACAAAGGATGCACAACAACAAAACGCGAAGAATAATCGGCAAGCCATGTGTGGTATGGGGATGTGGGGCCGTCTCCAAATCTGGCTATGGGATGTTTTTGTGGCCAAAAAATTGTCAAATGTCGCGTATATGGACCAAACAAGTGCGTCGTACGAGGGCGGACTTTGCTGGACCAGGTAACCCGGGGTCGATGAAACCTACAATTTGTGGGCAGCACTTTGAAAGATCGTGTTTCGACCAGTCCACAATGCTCGCTAAGGAAATTGGATTAAAAAATAATTTCAAACTGAACAAAGATGCTGTTCCAACAATACTGCCAAGACCCCAAATGCTAGCACAAGCCACCACGCCGATTCCTACAGAGTCCTCCACTAAAGAGACGGCGAAATGCATTCTCCAAAAGGGAGAGAGCGAAGGTAATCCGCGCTATTTGTTGTTCAATGTTTACAAGCATAAAGCCTGAATCAAAATGACATGTAAAATCTCACACATTTATGAGTTGATGAAGTCATGATGCCATATATTATTGCATGCACTTTGCCCATGAACAGCATTTATAGTAAAATTATACCTCATACAACCGCTTCAAATTCTGAAAAATGTCAATATTATTACATAGGTATTAGAAACTTTGTTAAATGAAGCCACTGACAGAACTGAGGATAGCAACAATCTATTGGACATCCACACTGGGGAGGAAA